TGCCGCCCGAATTGTTGCCGTGAATCGACATCATCTGCGGTGAGGCCGACGACACCGACAGGTGATTCGTTAGTGAGTTTGAATTCGATTGGATTACAGGCACTGATTGGCCGAATATTATCTATTTTGAGACAAATGCAAACAAAATATGGATTAGTCGTTAAGTCGAGCACATAATTGGTAGAAAAAACTCTGTCCACGGGTTATACCCGACATAAATAGGGTATCAAAATGAGGGGAACGTTAAGTGATCACTAGACGGGAGGTTTTGGTCACAAAGACTACATTAACAATAGGATCGGGAAATATAAGTCAACACAAGTGTATCGATGGATCAACTGAGGAATAATAGAGAGGGGGAGGGAGTGCTACAGAAGGGGAGGGTTGTTGTGGACAGCGGGTGATATCGGTCGAGCACACGGTGTCATACAATAGGCATTACCCGTTGATTGCCTGTAAACCGGGCCTCCAGTAGTTCCTGTTTGCGCGGATCTATTGGCGGATGTTGTGGTAAATTATCCATTATTTGAGTGGAATATATTACTGACGACAACATCAATGCTATCGGTTTCTGGTGATGGGTTTGCCTGAAGAAGAAGTAGTGGTAATAGAGAGTAGTAGTAGTGGTGACGGAGACGGGAGTAGTGGTGGCGGCGGTGTGTTTGCGGCGATAATGGAGTTATCGGTTGACACAAACACAGAGGTATTGGTGGCGCGCGGCTACGGATCAACTCAATTGATCGGTGGCTGACTTCTTGTGGTGAGCTTCAGACGCGCGGTCACTGCCGTCGCGGAGTTGTCCACACCGGGCAACTGATCCGGTCTTAAGCGCCACTCGCGTACCGATATCACTGTCTGGTCGCTGTCGGTGTAGTTGTCGTGGAAGTGGTGGTTGTCTTCACGTGTCTGATGGACACGAAATGTCTGCAAAAATAGATAATCGATTAGTAAATTATATCATCAAATAATTTAGTGGTAATTAAACACGTGTTAAACACGGGCTAACACAAGCACTTCATAAATAGCCTAATCATTAGTTAGTTATCCAACATATCCTATGCTCTCTCTCTCTCTCTCTCTCTCTCTCGCACTCTGACTCACTCACACCCGCTATGAGACGTGTGTTAACAACGAGGTATTTAACCCCCAAAATAGGGGGGCTTTTTGGGGGGCAACTAATTATATCACGTTTAATAATAATTAAAATCACAATTTTAAAACCTATGGCTGTTTAACCGATAAACCCGTATATATTTAATCATCAAATATATACTGATGAGTAAAACACACACAAAATCTGGTGAGACTCGTGGGTTATACGCGGAAACATAAGGGTATGGATTGGGGGTCACAACAAAGACATTAGGATTAACGCAATGAATGACTGCATTATTACTAATAATTTATTAGTAATGGAGCCATAATTGTATGAATTGTATGATGCGATCACTGCTATAGCGGAGCCATTCATATGTGTTGTTATAATTGACACCTGAATCATAAACATTGAATACCTCGATGCAAATGGTGTGACCCGTAGTACACAAGCGGGTCGATTAGTGGTGGCGGAGACCACCTGAACATGGTCACCAAAATGGTTAGGTACTATTCGTAGATTAATTGCACAATTAATTAATCACAATCACAATAATAACAGTACATGTAATGCAAGACAAAAAGCAGTGCTAACTGTAATAATGAGTGAATGAATAATAAATATCGTATTAACGCTCAAAATAAAAGAAATGCATTGATTATCAAATAAATGACTGCTTTTTTGCATCAATACTGTTGTGTATTAACGATATATCAAAATATATACTTGTATTGAAAACAATAACAATTTGTTAGTAAATGCCATAAATTACGGCACGAATTATATGATTAAGTGTTGAATAAAGTTGACTCAATTTGCTTTGTTTTTTTCCAGTGTCTGCCGCCGTATTTCCCACTCCAATACATATAACACACACCCCTTCCATGTTTACCATTGTTTGTACGCGTAATCTGTTTATGGGATTCGCTTTCAATGCTTTCACTGCATTACACACACAATTCACACGCATTGGCAGTGAGAAGGCAATGACAGCGGTTTGACAGTTGCCTTACTGTGAAGTGATTGGCAACACTTAAGGGGCTGTCACTTATTGTGTGTGCGATAGTAAGACATTGAAAATATTTGTATTGAAATGTAATGTAATTTTTTTGGTGTTAAACCGATGGGTAAAGCGATCGTACATTCAGTATGTTTTCACAGCAAATCAAAACAGTTATTATCATGTTTTTTGGGGCAGTATTTGTACGCCTGATGTTTGATATGAAAAGGGACTTAATATGGGTTTAATAAGGGGTTAGTATATTAATTGACACCAAAAAACAATCTATGTAATCTCGAAAAACTAACATGTTAAGTCATGTAAATTATAATGATTGATTTAATTAACATGATGTTTATCATGATTAGATACATTAGCGACACACGAATATTTACATGCTGTAATAATATTGATAATTTTACAACCTAGGTAATATTATTTTTAGCTTTGTTTAGCAGTAAATTTTACAGCCCTCACACAAGTACCCTGTTCAATTTTACTAGAAAAACTCAATTGTGTTAATAGTGTAATAAATAATATATTAGCTAGACAAATAAAATTGTCATAACTTTCATTATGGTTGTTTAATAATAAATGTGTAAAACAATATACTGTTATATTGTGACTGGTGAAATAAAATGAGACATAAAAATATGAGCTAAAACAAATAAAACAGTATTTTTTAGTACTAATGATTTAATACAGGATTCTATGTCATAGAATCTATGTTAGATAACTATGATATATAACTTATGAATACAAATAATCGATAAATAATTAAATGCTTATAATTGCACTTTTATTTTCATGCACTAGGATGAATAATGGTATTAAATATAGTAATTTTTGATTAAAAATTGGCATGATTATGTAGGAAATCAAAAATTTCTGCTTGATAACATTTATATTGCAGTGAAAATTAATTATTTCATACTTTCAGAAAAATTATTAATGATTAATAAAAAACAGAAAAAATAATTTTTAGTTCAGAATTACTAATTGGCAACCGTTTGGAAGCGGTTAGTTCTGAATTAATTCTGAATTAGTACATGAAATGTAAAATTTCTAAAAATCTATAATTTTAGGTAACAATCACTTGAAAACATTAATATTATTAAAACATTTAAAATTTTAATATTAACAAAATAATATATAACTTATTAAACCATAATTAAAACATCTGTTAATTAAATACTATGTAATATAAGTGCGATATTGTACTAAATTACTTGGGAAGGGTTTATTAATATTTGTTCGTAATAATAGTGAAAATTATTAAATTTTATCATTTTACTTTTGTAATAAGTAATTATTAATCTCTATTATGTTGTTTAACTAAATGAAATAATATATTATACTATTTCTTTGTGTATTAGTTCCGCAAAGTTTTTATGCAGACATTTAATAACTAGAGTTTTTTATTATAAAATTCTCTCTCTCTCTCTCTCTCTC